TGCTCCTGCTGTTGGTTCGACAGCTGTTGTAGTAGCAGTGTTTGTTGCTGTTGGTGTTGCCGCTGGTTTTCCGTAAGCCATTTAAATATGTCTGCGGCATCCATGGTGCCACCTCCCGTATCCGGGCGATGCACCCACACGAGAGAAGAACAACTCCTCCCCTCTCTTAACCCCTATATAACTCCCCACCTATATGCCGGTGCGTTGTGTGGGGTTTTTTTTTGTTTTTTTTTTAAACTCCTCCTAATCCTAACTTCCCCATGCAATGGGGTTGCATGCCCACATTCTCCACCACGTGTTGGGGTGCACGCCCTGCTGGCCAGTCCAAGATGTGAGCGGGCTGCCCCCTGCCTTGTATTGTCGCCCCCAGAGATGGGGATCCACAAGGTCTTAGTCCCAAAGTGACGGCCTCCCCGGATGCTCAGCACAGAGTGTCCTGTGCTTGGCCGCACAGATGGGGGGGGGAAAGGGGGCCCGGGCCTGCCCTCACTCACGGGCCCCAGCCCAGGGCCCTAAGAACAGCTACGACTGGACCTGTTCAGCTGGTGGGGGATCTCCTCTGAAACCCTCCGGCTCGCCAGGCTACCTTCCAGCCCTGCCCTGGGCTTCTTCCTACCCCCAATTCCTCATCCGTCTCCTCCCCTTCCTCTCCCCTTCCTCTTCCCCCCCCCTTACCTGGGGCTCTCTGCCTCCTTTCGACCCTCCCGCACTCTCACGTCAGCGCGCCGGCCCGCACTCTCGTACTCCGGCACCAGGCTCGCGTCTTTTACCCCGCCCCTGCTGCTGGGTTGGCCCGCGGCGGCCGTGCAGGGCATACAGAACCGCCGCGTTCCCCGGGCGGCACCGAGGAGCGTAAGCACGACTGCCAGCTCAGTGCAGGGAGGATTCGCCTTGGAGGGGCAGAGGGGCTCTGCACCGTCACAGTAGCCTAGAAATAGCCTAATAGAATTAGCGCTGATGTTGCACTCCCCTCTCTGCGTCCCGGCCGGTCTTCCACTCCAAGCACCCGAGGAAGTGAGTTGTATCTCACCAGAGCTGATGCCCTAATAAATCTGTTCGTTTCTAAAGTGCCACCAGCCTTCTTGTTGTTTTTATTTAAGGCAGCGATTTTCCCCAGAGGGGATGGTTGCAATTGAAAGCTAACGAGTAACTTCTGATGCAGCTCAAACAAAGCGTTGGTTAGAAAGGGGCAGAGATCGCCACTCACCACGATCAAACCAGTCGCAGCATCTCTAAAAATGGTTCAGTAATTTGTAGTGTAGAGGGAACTGGGTGCATGCGGGGGGGCTGCTGACCTTTCTCTTTGGGTACGTCTGCACAGCAACACTATTCCGAAATAACTTCATCCGCACCTACACAGCAGGCAGTTATTTGGAAATACCGTCGAGCTGGAGGACTGCTCACTCCAACTCCTGCAACCCCCACTGTAGGGGAGGAAGGGAGGTCGGAGAAGAGCGCTCTGCTTCAAAGGAAGTGCTGGGCAGACGCTCCCAACATTGCAATAAGCTCCGCAATGGCCAGTTTGCATCGTTTATTTCGAGTTAGGCCCTGCTGTGTAGACGCGCCCTTTGTGTCCAGCTGAGCTCACCAGCGTCCCCTCTCGCTAGGTATGACCTCAGCGTCACCGCTCTGAATGGCGCTCTCTACACCATCGGCGGCGGAGCCTTTCGCTTCGATATGGACACCGACGAATGGACCCGCGTGGACGAAGAGTGCCTGACTCCGAAATTCTTCCTGGGATGCTGCACTGTGAATGGCCAAATTTATCTCCTGGCCCAGAGGCAGGGGAATGTGGCTTTGCCCAACATGGTGCTCTTTGACCCTTACACGGACACGTGCCAGGTGGTAGAGAGCAAGCTCCCTTGTCCGCTGCCTGTCTATGGGTGTGTCTCTGTGCGGAAGTTTGACACATGTGCCTAAGGAGTTCACAGCGGGAGTTCCGTGGGTTAACGTTTACAAGGGTTGTGGTTTCTTGTCTGTAGAACTTGCAGCAACTTGAACCCAGCATTTATTCCTCCCGATTTCATCGTTTTCAGTTTGGCAAACACTGGTGTTCTTTGCCCCGAAGAACCCAAACGCAATGGACCACGCGCTGTTCTTCCTCCAGACGTCTCCACCGGTGCTAGCATGGCTCCATGACAATGGCTGGTAGCACGCTCACTAGCTTGGCCTCTGCAGCAGCCAAAGGAATTGCAGCCTTGCAAGGATGCTCCGAAACACGGCCGTTAGTGTTTGGTTACGTTACTGTGATTTTTGCAAATGATGGACCGGCAGCTGCAGAGCGCTGCAGGTGCCTGCCAGAGACGTCTCGCCCCGCATGCCACTGGCATGGCGTAGACGCAGCATCAGCCTTGTGGGAAACCCTGCAATAAAAAGGCAGCGCTGTCTTATGGGCTACGAGATTTGCAACTTTTTGTTGCTAGTCTTAAAATTAACGGTCCGAATGGCTGTATGGCCAGCAGAGTGCTGGGCAGGGCCAAGAGATTCCTGCCAGACACAGCTAGGCAGCTAAGATTGGAAGTTACAATTGATTGACGTTAGTGGTGCAAGGGGGCTGGGCCGGGCCGGGCCGGGCCGGGCCGTCCACCTTATCAGCAAGTTATTTTTGGCCAGTGCAGTGTACCGGAAATACTCGCTGCCAGCCATCTCCAGCCCCTCCACTCGCTGGGCGGGGCTGGGGTCATTGCGGCAGCCGGAGGAGGGGCCAGCATTCTGCTCCTCCCCCCAGGTAATGCGGGATGGGGGAGTCCCAGGCTGGGGGCGGGGCAGAGGCACATGGGGAGTCCTGCTCACTTTGGTGTACTTGCACCATTGTTAGCTAGTCAGCAGCTGGTCAGGCTATGGTTAAAAGAGACTGGAAATTAAAATCCTACAAACCTCCCTCCCCCCCCCGCACCGTGAGCTCGACAGGCCTACGGACCCGGCGCTGG